GCCATTCCCACACTCAGTTTTGGATCACACAATATAGATGCTAGCCATCCTTGGAGACAGAGTAATAATGATGATGACAATGATGGTGCATTCTGTGTGCTGGTGACACTGAGTTTTTTAAATTCATCAAAAAGCCAATAATGAAATTCATCAAATTCTACATAATATCATGTAGAAGTAGGAGCTCTAGAATCACGTGGAGAATAATTCATCTAAAGGTTAACAATTTTAACAATTATTGAAGTTGAGAAAAAATTATCTGAATGTGATGTTCTCCATAGTATTGACATAACAAAAAAATGTAGAAGGAGAAAGTCGCTGTAATAATATAACTTTCATAATTCTTATTTATTTATTCATTTATTTATTTATTGTTATTTTGAGACAAGATTTCTAGTGTTGCCCTGGCTGTTCTGCAACTCAATTTGTATTCCAAACTAGTCTGAAGGTACAGATCTGTGTGCCTCTGCCACCAGAGTGCTTGGATTAAAGGGGAGCATCACTACCCAGACTAATTCTTCTCTTTTATTTAGGGAGATATTAAAACTAGATATTCCGTTTCAGTAAAATTGTCAGCGCTTATCGCATAGCTCCCTACAATGTGATTTTCCCCCTGAATATCTGACTATAAGTGACATATTTCTAGCTAAGGGGAACGGACGTTGTCACACACAATCTGTTCTCCCAATCACTTTCTCAACCATCTAGAAACATTCTTAGGATCTGATGGGCTGTGAGTAGTGTCAGAAGGTTTGCATTTACCTGTGTTTGATGTGCAAAAATGAAATACACTCAGCTTTACAAAATTCAATTTCATCACGAATAGTTCATTTTCTAAAATTCTAAATGAACCTTGATTATTTTGTACTTCTTTTAAATGCAGGCACTTTATGGGGATCATTAGCCAATTAAGTTCATTACCCCTAAATTAAGATGGTAATAAGAAGAATGAGTGGTTACATGCAATCAAAGGGCTGACTGCTGATTCTCTCTGCTCTTACTGAGATGCAGAGATGAGGAGAGGTTGCTTAAGTGTCAGGGCCTTGAAGAAGGAACCATAGCTGGTATATAACTACAGTGTTTCTCTTAAAGTTTTTCTCTCCAGATCTCAATATGTAAATTTTCAGTTGCATAACAAACCAACACATATAAACAGCTTATTTCCTATCTGTCTGTCTGTCTGTCTCTTTCTTTTTTAACAGTAACTAAAGTTTTACCTACTGTTTTAAATCAGGAGTTCCGAAAAGGAATAGTCTAGCCTATCTTCTAAAATAATGATTATTAGAAAAGAGAAAGGGATTTAGGAGTTTACTGTCCTCTCTTTGCTTGAAACTGACATATGAGTAGGGAGCCGAGTTCATCAGACTGGTGAAGTTTGTAAGCAGAAAAAATTAATAGATAAATGAATTTCAGGCTTATCTGAAATGAATTTTCATATTTGTACAAGTATAGGCATTTCAATTTGTGGGAGAAAGCAGGGAGAAAAATGAAGAGGATGTGGTACTTGTACTTACACCTTTGTTGTAGGGAGAGACCACTTGTTTCCGTACCGCTGGGCAGCTTAGACACAAAAATAATCACACATAAACTTTATTCATTAAATCACTGCTTGGCCTATTAGCTCTAGTTTTTTATTGGCTAACTCTTACAAATTAATTTAACCCATTTCTATTAATCTGTATATCACTATGAGTTTGTGCCCTACCTGCAAAGTTTCAGCAGGTCTGACTCTAGTGGTGGCTGTATTGTGTCTCTCTCTGCCTTCCTTCTCCCAGCATTCAATTCGGTTTTCCCAGCCTACCTAAGTTCTGCCCTTTCAACAGGCCAAGGTAGTTTCTTTATTCATTAACCAATAAAAGCAACACATAGACAGAATGACCTTCCATACCATTTCTGCTTTTCTGTTTAAACAAAAAGGAAGGCTTTAACTTTAACATAGTAAATATCCACTTAACAAAACAGTTATCAAGCATGAATTATAGTTATAATATTTATATCTACTTTATCTTTTATCATAACTAAGGAAAACTATAACTATAAATTTATTAACTCCATCATGGACTCCAGAGGATATGATATTACCTAAGTAAACAGAAAGTACAGTGTAAGCAACTTCCAAAACTCTAGAACTGACAGAGACATCTCACTGCCTGGACAATCATCCAAAGTTCCTTTGTACCAATGAGGTATCCATCTTCAGCCTACAGGCCCTAAGTATCCAGCAGACTTTTCCATGAAGTAGGAAATTTCAAAGACAGTCCAGTCACTTTCTTCTGTATCCTGCAGAATGTCTCGCAGACTATTTCACGAAGCAGAAACCCTGATGGATCATCTCACCTTTAGGCAAGTTCAGATGTTATTTCTCTGTGGGTCCTGTATACCCAGTCATGCATTCCAAGCAAGAGCAGTTTCTAGACAAAATGGCTAACCAACACCATGAGGATCCTCTTTGATACCCATCTTCCTCTTGAAGTAATTGGTGCTGCAAGGAGCATATGTGTTTCACTGTCATTAAAAGTCTTATGTTCTTAGACATTTTAAATGCCATATTCGGAAGGTCTCTGAAAGATTTGAAGAATACCTATTTAACTGAAACATATCTCTAAACATCTAGAAAATCTAACTAACATGACACAAGCCTAATTATTATAGATGATTATATATTAACCTATATTTCTTAATTATACAGCCATAAACACAGTACATATCAAGAGGAGACATATACATATAACAAGATTGACCTAAAACATGTATCAATACACCAAGATCCATACCAATGCAAATATCCATATTTATAGCATATCCCCCTTTAAATGTAAAGAAACATTTATACACAATATTTTGGAATATGGGCATAGCTATTTCTCACCAAACTGCTTCCTTCTGTTTGTTGGACAAAATATTTTCTTTGTGGTGGTTTTTACAGCAACCTTTCATGGGGTCTTGTTTCATCAAACCATATTGATTTGAAAGCAATCCATAGGTTCTCATCTTCTGTGGAAACAAGAGAAGAACATCTTTTCCAAAGCAACATAACCTTAGACCCAAATTTGGAAGATTGATACCTTTATAATATACATACTGGTTTAGCTTAGCAGCCCATACAATGAAATGTCTCTCTGTACTTAGCCTATTCACGGTCAAAAAATTAAAAAATAACACAATAATATACATAATCCAGACTCTTTGTGTATAGTCCATTTTAGGTGGCTTGGTTTTTTTTATTCCTTTTAATCTGACTGTCTATACTGTCTCATTAAAGATTTTAACCTTTTTTTAAAGCATTAACTTTATTTTATGACTCTCTATACTCTTTTTCTTCTCTCTTCCAAGTCTACATACATTTATCCAACAGTGTGACTAATCTGGATTTTTCTTTATTGCATATCTGTAATTCTTTATGGTACAGTAGCACTTTTTAAAATGCTAATCACTTCTTAAAGCTTAAGCTGTGCCATTACTATAGTATATAAGGTACTTCCTACTTACCTGCAAGACAAGGCTGACTCTAAGAGCAGAAATGAAGCAAGCATGAGTGATGGAGACATTGCCTGCTTTCTGGAAAAAGAGCACATTTAAGCTATAAAAAATAAGTGTTTGTGAGATTGACATTAACAATTGATATTTTTGATATTGTCAGCGTTATATTGCTTAATGTATCCAGAATTTTGAACATTTATAAAACTAACTTTTAATTCAAATTAACATATACTCCCTCACATCTTATATATAAGTCTCTCTCAGAAGTTTCAAATGGCACATGGTGAAAATCTTACTTCTTTAAATGTGTTAATTATACACTATGGCTTTGTTCTAGAATATGTTGAAATAAGTGTGAAAATTTCTTTTTATATAGTAAGTTACAATATTAAGAATTCAAATTATTTCTCTAACCCCTTTGTTCTTCATAAAGACCCTTCAAAAATGTTTCTCCCTTGTCTTGTGCTAACATTTTCAAGCTAAACATTCTTATGTTTGTAGCAGTTTCTTCTTTCTTCAACATGAGTCTTATTTGTTACTTTCTCCAGGCAACTGGGTTTCTTTTGGGCTGGCATGGACTATGTTATGCAGCCTATGCGACATAAAGCTGAGTGTGATAACTTCTGTCTGTCATCACAGCACTAGGGAAACCGAGACTGCTAGATTGTTAATTCAGAACCAACTTAAGTGACATAATGAGATTTCTTGTCTACAGCCACTCCTTCCAAAATGTATCTAAGTGCCACAGTGTTCCTAGACATCAATGATTTTAGTCATATGGAGATGAAAAAACTGATATTTACAAGTGAGAACCGTCTAAGCTGTATCCATGCACATGCACAACTGATTTCTTTGGTTACTTTCAAGGTCATCTATAATTGAAAAATATGCTTGAGGTCATGATTCTTGGTTTTGTGTTCTGACAATGCAGTACAGTAGAAATTGGTTTTACATATAATCCTGGGATGTAAGCAACTTTAATTAACATTGCACTAATTTTAAATTTTTATGGTTTCTTCCTACTAAAATATGTGTGCATTTAAGAGTTTTAACAGAAAATGGTACCAGTGGAAAAATAAAAGCAAAGCAAGTGTCTAGCACTCTTCATGCACAGGGAATCTAAATAATCAGACAAACCAATTTCATTGATGCTCTAGTTTGCCTATCTTTACTTTTGTCCAGTAGATGTCAGTATTGGATAAAAGCAAACTAGCATTTCCCTTAATATTTGCACATTGCTTAGGAGAAACATGAGTTGCCCTGTCTACTTTGATGTGTGCACATGTAGACATTGTCAATTCTGTGTATTTAGATAATTAACATTATAGGTTACTTCTACATGCTATTGATCTTTAGTGTTCTTAAACATTTACCTTGTGTTTCCTCTGCCCTGTGTTTCTCCAGAAGAGAAGCTGAAACAGTAATTAACTGGTAGCAGCTGACGGATTGCTTAGAAACAGTATTCGCCATTTCTGCCCAGATCTATGTAAACTTGAATCCTCATTTTGTCCTTCTTACAGCCTTTGGATTTTGAAACGAAGAAGGCATATACGTTCAAAGTAGAGGCCTCCAACCTTCACCTTGACCACCGCTTTCACTCTGCTGGCCCCTTTAAAGACACTGCTACAGTCAAAATCAGTGTGCTGGATGTGGATGAGCCTCCGGTGTTCAGCAAGCCACTTTACACCATGGAGGTTTATGAAGACACTCCTGTGGGGACCATCATCGGGGCTGTCACAGCCCAAGACCTAGATGTGGGCAGTAGTGCTGTGAGGTAAGAAGAACAGTTTTTAATGGGCATTAGACAAGCAAAACTTAACTATGTCAGCAGGAGAAAACGAACTCATTTACTAAAGGTAAGGCCAAAAAATAGCAGAGCAGGTGCCACAAAATTTAATGAATGCTTATTAGTGTAAGGATGGAAGTATTGCTATAAAATTCAACTGAAACAACCAGTAAAAATCCTTACAATACTGTTTACAGTGGTGTCATGCTGGACATCTCATTCAAACTTCATATATTAAAGGGATTGGGCAACACAGCTCTAAATGATTCTCAAGATTAGTGATGGGAGAATTTAAAGACATGATTCTTTTAGAAAAGGCAACACAAATCTCCCACCCTTAACCTTATAATCCGGATCACCAACTTTCTTGTCTTCTCACAAGTCAAGTACAGTTATTCCAAATAAATATTCCCTAAATTCTTAAATGATTCCATTATCAACACAAGAGTCTCATGTCTAATGTCTGCTATAAATAACAGCTAAACAAGACATGGGAATGTTTCTTGCCTAGAGCCATTCTCGGCAAGTTCTTATCAAATAGTGAGACTTTGAAAATAAATAAGTTATGAGATTTGCAAGTATGTGTCTTGTTAAGGTTGAACCACACATTCCTATTCCATACATAAAAGATGGAAGGAAGTAGCAATGTTGCCTTCATAATTCCAAATTCTAACTGGAGAAAGTCTACACAACTTGCAAATCTATAAGAAATACCTTTTTTTAAAATATCTGGGCTTCTTAATCTTACAGATTTTCTAAGTCTAAGGTCCTCTGTTTCCATTGGAATGATACATAATTAATAACACTGCAAAACCAGTATTTATTCTATGGCTTTCTGTGTCAAGCCCACCTATGTACATAGGTAACAAACACAGTATAGCATTAAATTTCCCAGTCATGTGCTTTTAATCTGCTTAGGGCATACACTGAAACCTTATCTCAAGTAGACATGCCTCCTGTCTCTCATGATGTTGAATTGTCTGAGTTCCTTCTTCAAGAAAGGCACATGTATTTGAGTAAATGGCTCAGTGATCTGCTCTTCTTTAAGAATTCTGCAATTTTTCCTGAAATTTTCTGATCTCTTCGTTTTTGTTAACCTTAGTGGCCAGTGAGTCCTTAACATTTTTCTTTATGATTGACATGATAGGCTAAAATTTTTGTTCATTTCCAAGCAAACTTCTTTAGTATGTGATCAAAATAATAACACTCATAGGTCTTTCTGAAATACAAGGTATCCTGAAATATATTTTTGTAATATTTCTTCCTTTTTGTAATATGCAAAAACAAAATCATTTAAAATTTTAAATTATAAAATCCTTTTGCTTAGCATCCCCATTTTAAATTAATTTCTCTCATTTTATGTTTTTGAGTAAGTATAGATTCACAATTCAGTTCAAAATAATGTTCTTAGTAAATCTCAGATAGATACTGAGTTTTGTATTATCAAAGTTGTACCTTTTGGTAGAAGAGAATTATGACCTGAAAACTTATCTTCAAAATTTTCTGCTCTTGCCCAAATGAATTGGAACTACTCCATTGTCCAGTAATGTATGTCTGCCTGTCTGCCTGCTCACCTGCCTCCCTTTTTCCCTTCCTTCCTTCTTTCCTTCCTTCCTTCCTTCCTTCCTTCCTTCCTTCCTTCCTCTTTACCTTTCTTTCTTTCTTTCTTTCTTTCTTTCTTTCTTTCTTTCTTTCTTTCTTTCTCTTCCTTCTTCTGCTTTGAATGCCACCCATGCAATAATATTTTAAAGTATGTTCTCTAACAGAGACTATTATTTTTGATGAAACTACAAGTTAATTACATTCGTCCTTTCCTTTTGTTCTTCCAACTTTCCCATGTATTGCTCCATACTCTCCTTCATACCTATGGCCTCTTCAGTACGATGTTTCTTATTTATCTCTAACATATCATCAGATTGGCATTATCATTGGTCTTCTGCCAAGACACTATTCAAGGTCATTGGATACTCTCAACAAGGATAGAGCCTTTTTCTAAAGTTACACAAATTTTCTCCTCCATTTGACCACTTCTCAGAATCACTCTAAATATCTACACATTATAGAGACGCAACACTTTCAGACGCTGTACATCTTTCGATTGGGAATTTGTTAGAAAGGCACCTGCCATTTGATAAGTTTTCATTCTGACCCCTTTCAGTAATCTATGACAGAACCATATAACATTTGAAGCCAGATGCATTTCCTTGTCAATCAGGAATGTTGAAGTTCATAAGCAAAGAGATGGTAGATACAGCATCTTGGCAACATCCCTGTCTTCCTTCGTCGGATGATCGTCATGCAAAAAAGTAAGAATCAGCTCCCCCAAGTTCCTTTAGAAAGGTCAGTTAGCAGACTAGATAAATGGTTCAGCAATTCAGAGCAGAGACTTCTCTTCCAGACGAACTGTATTCTGTTCCCAGCACCAAACTGGTGGCTCACAACTACCTGTAACTCCATTTTCAGGCACTCCAATAACTTCTGTGTCAACTGGGTGTGCTTACTTACAGTTTAAATAAATACATACTATAAATGAACATTAATCTCCATGTAAGGATGCTGCATAGATTCATTCCTTCTCCCCACAAGGCATCATCTCCTAACTTCATGCCTTTATATTTAGTTTCATTTTCTGACATATGAATGTGTATGTGTGCCGATATGAGTTAAGTGTGTGTATGCACGTGTGTGCATGCATGCATAAACATCTGTGAACATGCAGAGGCAAGAGAAGTATGCCCAGATATCTCTCCATTACTCTCTTCCTTATTTTCTTGAGGTGCCATTTCTCCAAGAATCTGGATATAGTCTTGTGGTAGCATGTTTGTGTGATCATACTGTCCCCACCCTATATAGTGCTGGGGTTATGAATATGCATGACCAAACGTGTTTTCCTTTGTTATTATTGTTTGTCCATGTTTTTTCCCCTGTAGATGATGGAATATCAACTCAGTCTTGGATGTTTGAAAAGCAAGCACACTTATGAGCTAAGCTTTTTCTCCAGCTGCTTATCATATGAATTTTGGAATGATACACTCAATCAATTACAATTCTTCCCTCTTTTCATCTTTACCAGGTTTTTTTGGACCACAAGCCCCCAAATAATGACAAAGAGACTTAGTGTTAATTATGAAAACTCAGTCTTAACTTAGATTTGTTTCTAATTAGCTGTTATGACTTTATGTAACCCATTTCTATACATCTACATACTGCCATGTGACACACAGATTTCATCTCTCCTTTTACATGTCCTGTTCCTCTGTATTTGGATGTTAATCGTGGCTCTCTCCTTCCATACATTTTCTTTGTCCCAAGAAGTCCTGCCTACCCTCTGCCTTCCTAGCTATTGGCCGTTCACCTCTTTATTAAACCCACTACAATGACACATCTTCACACAGTGCCCAGGAGTATTCTGCAAAGCATATTTTATTCAAGTGGGAACTCTAAAGAAGTACAACTGACTAATGTAAGGGGAGACACATAATTACCGGGAACTCAATATGTCAGTGTAATGCTTTCCAGGTTCGTCCCTGGAAACTAGCTGTTTTTATACTTGTTATTATTACCAAACCTTTAAAAACTATACACAGACATATAGTTATTGGTGAGAGATCTACAAAACTGTTATATATTGGTATGCTGTCATTTGTCAGTTGGTGTGGGAGAATTGTCTGTATTCTGTCAATCATATTTTAATAAAACGCTGATTGCCCAGGCAGGCAATATAGGCAGGAAAGCCAAACAGGAAGTAGGGGTGGAGCAAAGAGACTGGGAGTATTCTGGAAGCAGAAGCTTCCTCAGCCATTCCTGTGCAGACCACGGAAGAGGCAACATGTAAGCTGTCACACCGAGAAAGGTACTGAGCCCATGTGGCTAACATAGATCAGAATAATGGGTTAAGATAAGTCATAAGAACTAATAAGTAGCCTGACCTAATGGACCAATCAGCTTTATAACTTATAGAGATCTCTGTGTGATTGATTTTCTCTTTGGGACATGCCAGCTATGGTTTACTGGGAGGGACAGAAACCCCAACAAGCCGGCCATCATGTTACCTATAATGGGGTAACATAAGCTATAAGAGTTAACAAGAAGCCTGACCTAATGGGCCAATCAGTTTATAACCTTATGGAGTCCTATGTGTGATTTTTCCTTGGAAATTGCCAGTTGTGGGGTGCCGGGCCGGACGGAAACCCCAACAAGCTGGCTCCCTCATGTTACAGTCAGTCATGTTGCTGAAGCCCTTCTCATTCTTGCTGATTTTTATTGGCAATAAGAAACATCTGATGAAGAGATTGATATTACGTTTTGTAGAACATAAATGGTTATCATAACAGGCTTTCTTTTGAACCACCAACTACCTTCCAATCATAATATGGAGTGTTATTAGCTTTTGAATGTTCATCCTTACCTTTGTTCTTATTTCTTGCTAGCTCTTATAATTTGAATTATCCTGTTTCTCTTTATCTACATTTTTCCTCAGGTCTTTTACCTTTCTTTTTTTTGCATGTCTGACTCCACTTCCTACAGTTTTGGGCTGTTTGGTAGCTTCCTGACTTCTGGTCCTGAGTATGCCCCTTTCATTTTCCCTCATTCTCTCATTCTTCTTCTCTGCTCTTATTTATTCTCTCTACCTGCAAGGTGCACCTATCCCTCTCCTGCCTAACTATTTGCTCTTCATCGCTTTATTAGACAAATCATGTACCTTAGGTGAGCAAGGGGAAACAACAACACATCTTTACATAATTCAACAAATGCAGCATAACAAAAGCAATACATTTTATAAATTGAAACAAATGCAGCATAAATAAATGTAACACACTTCTACACAGAATCAGTAATAGTTTGCTGCATAAACTAATTTAACACACCTTTGCCTAGTTAAAGTAATATTCTACAGCAGGTTACTTCAGAAATGTTAAATGTTTATAACAAACATGAAAATGTGTATCTAACTCTCTACAGTCTAACTTTTGGTAGAAACAATGAAC